GATGTGGGTCAGAGCAATGTGGAAAAGCCCTCCCGTCGCTGGAGGTGGTGACACAGCCATGCCAGCAGCACCACACCAACTCCCATCCGCTGGAGATACGACTCGAGTCACGTTTTTTCCCCCTGCACCAAACCCACAGGAATTATTTTGACGCCGGGAAAGACTGAAGCGAATCTCTGGAGCCATGTGGGGTGTTTCCTCCTCAGCAGGCCCGTCCACCACCTGGCTGCTGTGTCACTCGATGCCATTACAACACCCAGTCGTTACCTTTGCAGCAGTTTGGTCATTCGAGACCCCCACCAACGTGCTAATCCACTGAGAAGGAGCCACGGGGGCTACCGATGCCCAGCCGGTGCCACCCACGAGACACCGACCTGCAGGCAGAGCCTGCCTGCCTGCCAGGAGAGGAGGTTTCCCTGTGGGAAAAGGAGGTGACAACTGAGAAGTCCCACATCCAGACCTCACACCCGGCTTCCCCGGAGCCCGGCTGTCTCCTGCTGCTTCACACCAGCATCAAGGGCTTGAGTTCATCTTCCTTTTTTTTTGGCGTTACCACTGGGAATCAGAACCAATCCCCTTCCAGGACGTATGAAAAGCAGCTCCTCAAAATCCAATAACTGCATCGGCGCTTCGCCACTCCTGTCCACTCTCCAGCCATTCAGCTCCACCCAAAATCCTTCCGTCGCTGATGATGACCAACATCCGCGTAGGAAGGGGCTGCAGGTGGAGAGAGCACCCACCGGAGCACAAACCTCATCCAGCGTCATCCCCGGGAGCACAAAACCACTCTAGTGCATTCTTAACCCAGGATCTCGGAGGAGAGAGCACCCGGGGGAGCGTCACGGGCTCAGGTGAGCAGAGTACCAGCTTCAGCCATGCCCATCTTCTCCAGAAGGTTTTGATTTGAGAACTGGAGTCACTTGCTGTCAGGGGAAGAACCTGTTGCACCTTTACGAACGGCTCCATCCTCCCTTCCGTCCCGCCGGCCAACGTCCCTCTGCCAGAGGCGCCGGGGCTGCCGCAGAGCCAGCAGGACCACGACCACGGGACTCCTCCCGGAGTGAAAAGGTGCTCTGCAGCCTCAACGTTACTAAAAACACCCCCGAGGTCCCGACACCGAAATTCTTGGTCAGTGTTTCAGGCAGCGACTTGGCAGAAGAGAAATCCACGTTTCCTCCTGGCACAGGGGGCTGGCACACAGCAGAGCAGCCTCCAGAGCGGGCACGGGGGTCAGCGCAGGGCAGAGCCATTTGCCGAGCTCCCAGTGCTTTAATGGGAGGACGCAGCCTCACCCCAGTGCTTAATTCTACACGGCAGGACCACGCTGGGAACTGCAGCCAATGCTGGAGCAAACACAGCGTAAAACCGCCCAGGGGAGCTGCGAGCAGCGACAGGATCAGCTCCACAGCGGAACGTGGCGCTCAGCCCCTCGTCCAGCCTCGCAAGGACCATCTCCTGGGTGAAACCAAGCTGGGACCAGGCCTTGGCCCCCTTGCTGAGCGATCCCAAAGCACAGTGTTGGACCAGCTCGCTACAGAAACCCCAGCAGCAGGTCACGGAGACTCGGCACACTGCAAATATTCCCACCTAAACCCTCGGCAAGGTGCGGGCGAAGCGGGTGACTCAAAGTTTAGGAGCCACCTCATCCCCAGCAGGGACTTCCCCACGTGAATCCCTCCCTCCTGGGAGCCTCCGAGCCCATGAGGGCAGGTCCTTACCTTGCTAACATTGAGGGAAGCTAAAGGAGGAGGCGTTTCCGTGCGGTCGTTAATTATTTCCACTTCTGAAACATACTGTAAGTTTACGAGCAGGATATCTGCGTGATTAGGCTTTCCACTGGAAGAGGGGCATTCTGGAGGGGAAAAAATGTTAAGGAAAACAAATCCAGACAGAGAAATTTGCAGACCTGATGCACAGAGCTGGCCAGGAGCAAACCAGGAGAACATCTGCTACTCGGTGAGCTGCTCCACCACCCCTGTCCCTACTCAGCCAAGCATGGGGTCACCCGTGAGACCCCGACAACGTCACTCGCCTCTTCTTGGACTCAGCTGATGCTGAATCGGTTTTCCTGCCTACACCACGAGTTTTCCAGCCAACTGCTGTACCTGGAGCACACGCAGCCTGGGATGCTGCGTGGTCTCCTCCAATAAAGCCGTTTGGTCCTCACTAGCCGGAGCAGTGCGGAGGTGCTGCGGTGCAGCCTGCTTCCCCACTCACCACAGGCACCATGAACACTGGTCTGAACGGGGAAGTGAACCAGAACCACCGCCCCTCAAATCTGCACCTTTTACACCATAACTATTTCCTCTCGCAGGCCACAGCGAAGCCAGGGCCACCCCAGGAGCGCTCCCTGGGGCAGACGGAAAAGG